TTATTAACATTAATTATTTTATAGAACTTAAATATATTTTTTCTAATTCTATATAATAAGAATGTTTAACAGGAACATTTTCAACATCTTTTTTTTTAACATCAGAATTAAACTATGACAAATATTCAAGATTTCAATTTAGTAGGACAAATTTTGAAAAATAATTTAAAGTTACTTTAAAAATAGAAAAAATTCCAAGTCAATGTAAAAATTATTATTCAAATTCAGAATTTTGGCAAATGTTTTAAATAATTAAATTTTTGAAGAAATTGATTAAAATATTATTGAAAAAAATTTATTTATTAATTGAAATTGTAAATTTGAATTGCTATAATTATTGACAAAATTTTAAACAGTATTTTATTTTTAAAGAATTTTTAATAATAAAATTTGTATTTTTGAAAAATTGAATTAGAACGATTGAAATAATATTAATTTAAGGAAGAATTTGGAAGAGATATATTTAAGTTTTTCGGAAATAATTAACATTTCAGGAAATATATAAAAGAGATTTTGGAATTAATGGAGATTTTTTACAAAATTCAGAAGATAATTCAATTTTTAAAAATGTTTAATTGAGAAATGTGGTAGTTAATGGAATTTTTGAAGGCTTAAATTAAAGTTATCAGAAATAGTTAATTCAACAAGGAATTTAAGTTAAAAATTTGAAAAATTATTGAATATTAAAATAGTTGCAGTTATAATTGTTGAAAATAATTGAATTTCAGGAGATTTTTAATCAAAATTTTCGTAAATATAAATTTAAAACAAAAATTAAATTATTTTAAAATAATTGATTTTCAGGAGATTTTAAATTGAAATTTTCTCAAATTTGAGTTAATAAAATTTTTTTTACAAACTTTAAACAATAATTGAATTTCAGTGTATTTTAAATTGAAAAATGTTTTAAATAATGGAATTTTTAATGAATTTCATTTAAATTATTGAAAGTAATTAATTTAGCAAAAAAAATTAAATTTTAGAAGAGTTTGAGTTCAAAATTTTTAAAATAATATTTTAAAATAATTATTTATAATATAAAACATATTTTCTATAGAATTACAGATGGACTTAAAGCATGCGAACTTAAAACTTACTTTCTACATGTATACTTTTCAACCCAGTGGTTAGTGTAATGGTACGTTCTGATTGACTAGAACTAGCTGGACTTGACATGCTTGCAATACAGCCTTCAGATTTTAGTAACATTTAAGTAAAAACGTGTGGTAATTTTTTGTTTTTTTCTAAATTAGATATGTTCAGTTAGTTCTCTTACTCTGGCTCAACGCTCGGTCACAATCTATCGAGCGTTAATCCGTTGGTTTAGAGCATGTGGAAACGTATTTTTTAAATTTAAAAAAACATGGATCAAACTTATAATTGATCATAATTAAAAAAAACTTTCGGTCAAATTAATCGAAGTCTCTAGAAAAAACTCAAAATGTAATTCTAAAAAAAAAAGTTTTCTCTGACAAAAATTCGGTTTACGGGTCCGTTTATCCACTAAAATTATTTAACTATCAACACTCATAGAGAATAAATATATCCGTAAACCGACTTTTTATTAAAGGAAAAAATTTTTTATAATTACAATTGGAGACTTTCCTGGAAGTTTCAATAATTTGATTGAAAGTTTTTTCAAATATATTTTGTGCGGGGTTCTGTGAATCTTGAAATTTATTCTGATCAATGAATAAAACTTATCAATCTTGTCATTTTTTTAGATCGGTGGCAGATCGGTTCGGTGTGTCAATCAACACTGCATGGAGGTGTACAATGAAGGTGTACAATAAAAAAAAAGCGTTCTGCTTGCTAAAAGGTCGCTGTCGCAGGATGAAATATATTTATTTACAAAAAGTTAAATATGGATCTCTAATGATTGCTGCATGTTGTGTACTGCACAACATATGTCTTGATTTAGATGATGAAGTAAACGAAGACATATTGAATGAAGTGGGAAATGTTGAATATGAAGAAGAAGGTGACCAAAACATTGAAGATAGGGGAAACAATCTTCCTGGCCAAGAAAAAAGAGACGCAATTGCGGAAATGCTTTTGGAAATGAGAAGGCCTTAAAGTTTTAATCGGTTAATGCACCCAGAGAAAAATGTTATTTAATGAGAGACTACAACGATATTTTCTGTTATGTGAAACAAATTTTATAGTAATTTTTTGAGAGCAATTGAATGGTCGTAAAATAAAATCGTTCAGAAAACATTTTATTTTTTTTTGAATTTTTATTTTCCTAACAAATTGATAGATTTTAAAATCCATCCGTAATTTTGTAGAAAAAATGTTTATGTATCTATAAAAAAATTAACGAATGGAAAAATTTATTTTTAATATTTGTAAAGCATTATTTTTGAAAAAACATTCTTTTTAGATTGAAAATGCTAAGAATTACATTGTTATTCATCTTTTTTATTTAAGAAACCATTTGTTCATATTTCTAATTTCAAATCACAATTTTAAAATAAAAAATATAAATTATGAAAAAAATTATAAAATTATGATTTGAAATTAGTTGGAAAAATAAACAAATGAATTCTTAAGTACATAAAATGAATATCAATGGTATTTTTTAGCATTTTGAACCTAAACGCAATGTTTTTATTCAAAAACATGCTTCAAAAATAGTAAAAATAAATTTTTTTATTCAACAATTTTTTTTTATGGATACAAAAACATATTTTCTATAGAATTACAGATGGACTTAAAGCATGCGAACTTAAAACTTACTTTCTACATGTATACTTTTCAACCCAGTGGACACTGGGACATAGGATGTATGTAGGACATTCTTATGATGATGTCTTTTCGAACGATCATAGATGTCCTAAGGATTTTCTAAGAACATCAAAAAGATACCCTAGGTTCCAGTGTCCATATGGAAGTATTATTCTTTTATTATGCCCCAAAAATTGTGTACACAGTACGCCAGGGGGAAATAAGTCTAATTTACTGTATTTAATAGATTAATATTGTGATAAAAAAATTAAAACGTTATATAAAGATATTTTTAAACATTGTATCTAATATTTTAGAATTTATTTTTTATGTAATAATAATATACAATAAAAATAATTATGGGTCATTATCAATAAGTAAGTATAAAAATTGTAAATTTTTATTTAATCTTACTTCAAGATATTAAGTACTAACACCAAACATAACCTCAAAATAAAAAAGCCTTATTTTTTAAATTATATGAATTAATAAAATAAATTTATCAATTAATTTTTTTATTATTAATTTAATTAAATTAACTTTAACATATTTTAAAGAATCATTAATATATCCAGTTTTAAAAAACAAATAGTTTTAATTAAAATTATTGTTTCTAATAATAATAATAATAATAATTATATTATACCTATATGGGCAAATCCACAGAACCGGCCGATTTCATGTTACTCACATATTTTTCTATTTTAGAAGTATTATATTAATTATTTTCATACTTCAACCATTTTGTAATATCTCTGAGAACCTATTGAAATAAGAAAATTGAATAAATGTGAACCTTCTAGTCTTTTATAAAAAATAAAATCGAATTAAGTAACTTAAAAAATGAAATTTACGGTGTTACTCCAGGTATAAATTTTAATTCTTATAGGTATAACTTGTTCGGCATAGATCCGAACAATTCCAAACTGTGGTGAATTATAGTTTACTTATTGAAGAATGTTTTGAAAGTAATAAAAAATATGTGCTCTTAAATAAAAAGAAATGATAGTCGTTGAAAGTAGCGTTACTCATTATTTTATAATAATGAAATGTCTATACATTTTTGTAAATATCTTTTGCGGCGATTATTCGATTTGAATTTTTCAAATTGGAGCTTATTGCTTGTGAACAGACGAACAAATGTATGTATCATAGAATAGAGTGCAATCAGAATTAAAGAAAATATTCCAATAATTATCACTCTATGTTTAAGCGTGAACCATTTTCAACTTAGCCTTTTTTCAGTAGCACAACTACAGGATAAAATATGATGAGTTGAAAACATGTGTGATTATATAAAGACATTATTATAATTCTTGTATGCAAACGCCAAATTATATTTTCAATTTATAACGTCTAAAAATTAAAAATAAAAAAAAATTTATCGAAATTTAACTAGTTAATCGTGAAAAATGAATTATCCTTTCATTTGTTTTATTTTCAAAGTTATATCAAAATCGATGTCAATAATGTCAGTTTGTTGGTTAAAATAGTTAATATCAAAATTAGTAAGTAAACAATTTAATTTACAGAAATAAAAAATTAAATGCTAATAAATATAATATATAATAAAATATGATAAAATATAAATAATTTATTTTTGATAATTAAAAAATTAATTATTTGTATTTTATCATATTTTATTATTCAAAATGTTTTGCACATATTTCAAATAATATATAAAAAAAAACAAAGAAATGCCATTTATAATTATAATTTCCAGAAGAAAAATAATATTTTCGTTTTTGGCTTTTAACTCAAACGGCATTAAAATAAAATGAATCACGCAAGAAGATAATTGTTCTTGAATATATTTTAAAGAAAGTAAACCATAAATAAAAGGTGTGCTTGCTATTTGGAAAATTTTCATCTTGATAAGTAAAAATCGGCCGGTTCTGTGGATTTGCCCATATATATATATATATATATAATAATTCTTTTCCGGTAATTTGTTCGCAGTTAGAAGTTAGGTTTAGTTTGCTTTTTTCTAAATTTCTTGAATAATTTTTCTTTTTATATGTCTTTAATTAAAAATCATAACTAAATTTGCAAATTTAAAATAATATTTAGAAATTTTTAAATTGTTATTTATTAATTATTGTAGAGAAACTTCTATTATTGCAATATACGCTTCCATTGAAGCTCTGAATAAAAATCTAATCGATTTGAACACCCACTTAAGTAGGATTAAATCGGTGAATATGTAAAATATGCATTTGGTACGGTGCTAAATGTAAATTTTAAATGTAATAAATTAATTAATCTTCTTTTAGATTCCAGGTATCATGTATACTTAACTGAAGAATTAGTGCTTCAATGGCAGGAAAAGATGTCATGTGCTGGAAATACCGCTGAGGGTATTTCAAAAGATTTTGATTCAGGGCCCTCAGAAAATGCGACAAAGATAGTACCTAAATACTGTGGAAACGAAGGACACGAATATGAGGTAACAATGCCCTTTGAGCATGCATCAGGGTCCACAGAAAAAGTGGGAAAGATGTCGAAATACTATAGGAACGAATGACATGAAGATGAGGCAGCAGATTCATCAGAGATGTCAAAACCGGATAATCTAAAAAGGCGTCGTGATTGTGGTAAATTGTAACACCTTTTTCGTTTTAGCTTCAAAGTTAATGTAAAACTAAAGTTTTAATCGACCTCTTCTTACCGGGTAGTACTGTACGATACTATTACGTATAGGGTTTTAAAAATATTTTGGTAAACTACAAAAAATTCACAAAATTGTCGAAAATGGCTATTTTTGTCTCTCTAACCTAATAGAACTGAGTCGAGTTGTGGCAACTTGAAATTTCGAATTTAGTTAATTTAATTTAATTATTCAATTTAATTAATATAATTAACAAATTAAATTAAATAAAAATTTCGAATTCAACTAATTAATTTAATTGTCCGGTCTGATTTGATTCGAACTCGAGTCGAGTTTTACCAAATCACAATTCGAAACTTCGAATTCCGATTAGCTCCTTTGATTCGAAATTTTTCAGTTCGATTTTTGCACACCTCTAGTTCATATTACAAAAATGATTTAAATTGAATTTATATCAACCAAAAACTTATTTGAGAGAATTTGTATTTTATCTAATTTGATTTCAACCTTTATTAAATTTATTTTAATTGTTATTTATACAATTTTTTTTGAAAATTTTACAGATAAATTCACTGGAAAGGAGACAACTTCTTTTACCAAAAGTAAGCATCAAAAATGAAAATATGGGGTAACAGGGTTGCCTCGATTTGCAGAAATTTGGGATATTGAGATTGATGACAAGAAAGAAGAAAAAGTCTGAGATTCACCAAAGTGATTAAAATATGAAAGTTTTAATAATGATAAGAAAAATGTAATTCAAATCTTTATTTCAATAACTTATTGTTTTCTTAATTCGAAATTGAAATCTTGAACTTTCTTTATTTGGGTCTGGTTAAAAAATAAAAGCCCATCTGGAGATCAGGAAAAAATTAAATTCAATGTTTGTGGCGACCCTGTACATGCTATTCCACGAGAAATTAATACCTTTCAAAGTATTTATTAGAAATGTACTCAAATTTTGACTTTTAGTCAAGTTTCGAGAAATTAGCACATCTTGAGTATTTGACTGCGTCAAATTTTAATGGTTTCAAATGCCAAGATTCCTCTGAAGAAAGCTCTAACGACGAAGAAATGAAGCGCCAAAAAAAAACAAAGGAGACAAAGATCTCCTCCTCCCCAACAGAAGTTGGTGGCATTAATCGAAAATAAATATGAGAGACAAGAAAAATTTCAAAACAGATTTATGAATAGTTTCGACAAGTATGTCGAAATCCTCGAAAAAACTTCAAGAAATAATTCTCTGTTGTTTCAATAGATTTCATTTATTATTTGCGTTTACCATCGTCCATTCTAATGTTTATTCAGACCAAATTAATGTTTTGCTTCATGTTCTTATACCAATAACATAAAAAACAGTTTCAGTATTAATCTAATCTTTGAAAATAGTATTCTATAAGTTTGTGATAATTTATAGGTATAATATAATTATTATTATTATTATTATTAGAAACAATAATTTTAATTAAAACTATTTGTTTTTTAAAACTGGATATATTAATGATTCTTTAAAATATGTTAAAGTTAATTTAATTAAATTAATAATAAAAAAATTAATTGATAAATTTATTTTATTAATTCATATAATTTAAAAAATAAGGCTTTTTTATTTTGAGGTTATGTTTGGTGTTAGTACTTAATATCTTGAAGTAAGATTAAATAAAAATTTACAATTTTTATACTTACTTATTGATAATGACCCATAATTATTTTTATTGTATATTATTATTACATAAAAAATAAATTCTAAAATATTAGATAAAAATTGAGAACACTTACTATTTTTCAGATTTGTTATGTCGCACAAGATTTTTCCGTCTTTTTTAATTAATTGATTATTTTCTGAAATAAGTAACCCGTTTATAATAATTTGTGTTCTCTTCTCTGACATAGTTGAAAATTAAAATCAATTAAAATGTAAAGACTTTGCGTGTCAGGCAGCGTGGTCAGAATGATATAAAGCGTGAAAACTGAAAGTAGAAGGGATTGCTGTTGAATGGAAATCTTAAGTGGGATTCCCACAAATGCAATTCTCAAAAATCACAAAAATCGAGTTGAGCACCTTTTCGCTCTCTCAGAGCACTCAGAGTGTATACATCAATAACACCCACGGTTTCTTCGTTTTTTAAAAAAAACACTGCTACCGAGCCGTATGAAACACAGATTGACAGGAATACACTTCTAAAAGATTTAAACAATTTCAACACTGGTAATTTCGATCCATCGCAAAATCAGGCTCCTCCGCCTATGAGTTGAAGTAATTCTATTGGGGATAGTGGATGTCAACTGCAGATTGATGTTCTGGATAAAGAATGAGCAGATAAGGTTGTTAAAACTCGAAGATTCAAGAATTGCATTATCGTAAGCGAAAGTTTAAAAAATTCATTTAAATTGATAATTACAATTTTTAAAAATTACATTTATAATAAAGGAAAGTCTATTTTAATACAGTGCAAAAAGAAAACGATTAACTAAAATAATTTATTCATATCATATGAATATGTACTCATTTCTAATAAATTGGCTTTTTTCTTAACATATAATTGAATAAAGCTTATTTCCTTAATTTTTTAAAAATTCTTATTTATATAAAAATGTTTATATAGAAACCATATTATAATATATTTTTACATGATTTATTAAATTCATTAAAAACATTTTCGTGTTTGTGCATAAATCCAGCATCATACAAAATCAGAATACACAGCTATTGAATCAAAATGAATGGATTCTGGAAGAATTCTCTTTTTCAAAAATTGGAGATACAAATTTCAATGACACTCTTTATCAGCCCCTTCAAGGTTTTCCTATTAGTACACTTGATCAGTTTGATTTTTTAAACGAGGAAGCACAAAAAAAATTACGCAAATCATTGGCAAGAAATTTTTTAAATAATTTTTTATCTCAAATAATATGCACACAAATTAATGATGATTATTTTAATTGTTATGTTAAAAATTAAAATTTTTCATTTTAGCTCAACCATTTAGTAACAATAGGAGGTTCAAGATTAAGAAATTTTTTGAATTATGCAGTAAAAAATAAATAAATTTCCTTTAGTGTAAGCATTTGAAATATTTAAAATGAAAATCCTGCTATTAATAATAAGGCATCTCAAACTGCCTGGATTGTCATAAACAAAATAAAAATTTGTTTCTTCTAATAATTTCTTATAAAGAGTCACAAATAAGACAAATTTTGTAGACTATAACCGTCCAATCAATTGTACTGCCTTTTACTGTAGTCAGAGAAAGAAGACTTAATATTTTAGTTTAGATGTAAGTGGTTTGTACATAGCGTGTTGCTAGATACTAAGGACTATGTATTTCTAAATTGTTGGACTAGTGCAAGTGATTGTTAAATGGTATATTTTTTGATATTAATAATAATAATTATTACAAAAGAAAGTTTATTTTCTAAATGTTAAAAACATTTTTGTAACTAAAAAATAAAAATGTTTAAAAATATCTTTATATAACGTTTTAATTTTTTTATCACAATATTAATCTATTAAATACAGTAAATTAGACTTATTTCCCCCTGGCGTACTGTGTACACAATTTTTGGGGCATAATAAAAGAATAATACTTCCATATGGACACTGGAACCTAGGGTATCTTTTTGATGTTCTTAGAAAATCCTTAGGACATCTATGATCGTTCGAAAAGACATCATCATAAGAATGTCCTACATACATCCTATGTCCCAGTGTCCACTGGGTTGAAAAGTATACATGTAGAAAGTAAGTTTTAAGTTCGCATGCTTTAAGTCCATCTGTAATTCTATAGAAAATATGTTTTTGTATCCATAAAAAAAAATTGTTGAATAAAAAAATTTATTTTTACTATTTTTGAAGCATGTTTTTGAATAAAAACATTGCGTTTAGGTTCAAAATGCTAAAAAATACCATTGATATTCATTTTATGTACTTAAGAATTCATTTGTTTATTTTTCCAACTAATTTCAAATCATAATTTTATAATTTTTTTCATAATTTATATTTTTTATTTTAAAATTGTGATTTGAAATTAGAAATATGAACAAATGGTTTCTTAAATAAAAAAGATGAATAACAATGTAATTCTTAGCATTTTCAATCTAAAAAGAATGTTTTTTCAAAAATAATGCTTTACAAATATTAAAAATAAATTTTTCCATTCGTTAATTTTTTTATAGATACATAAACATTTTTTCTACAAAATTACGGATGGATTTTAAAATCTATCAATTTGTTAGGAAAATAAAAATTCAAAAAAAAATAAAATGTTTTCTGAACGATTTTATTTTACGACCATTCAATTGCTCTCAAAAAATTACTATAAAATTTGTTTCACATAACAGAAAATATCGTTGTAGTCTCTCATTAAATAACATTTTTCTCTGGGTGCATTAACCGATTAAAACTTTAAGGCCTTCTCATTTCCAAAAGCATTTCCGCAATTGCGTCTCTTTTTTCTTGGCCAGGAAGATTGTTTCCCCTATCTTCAATGTTTTGGTCACCTTCTTCTTCATATTCAACATTTCCCACTTCATTCAATATGTCTTCGTTTACTTCATCATCTAAATCAAGACATATGTTGTGCAGTACACAACATGCAGCAATCATTAGAGATCCATATTTAACTTTTTGTAAATAAATATATTTCATCCTGCGACAGCGACCTTTTAGCAAGCAGAACGCTTTTTTTTTATTGTACACCTTCATTGTACACCTCCATGCAGTGTTGATTGACACACCGAACCGATCTGCCACCGATCTAAAAAAATGACAAGATTGATAAGTTTTATTCATTGATCAGAATAAATTTCAAGATTCACAGAACCCCGCACAAAATATATTTGAAAAAACTTTCAATCAAATTATTGAAACTTCCAGGAAAGTCTCCAATTGTAATTATAAAAAATTTTTTCCTTTAATAAAAAGTCGGTTTACGGATATATTTATTCTCTATGAGTGTTGATAGTTAAATAATTTTAGTGGATAAACGGACCCGTAAACCGAATTTTTGTCAGAGAAAACTTTTTTTTTTAGAATTACATTTTGAGTTTTTTCTAGAGACTTCGATTAATTTGACCGAAAGTTTTTTTTAATTATGATCAATTATAAGTTTGATCCATGTTTTTTTAAATTTAAAAAATACGTTTCCACATGCTCTAAACCAACGGATTAACGCTCGATAGATTGTGACCGAGCGTTGAGCCAGAGTAAGAGAACTAACTGAACATATCTAATTTAGAAAAAAACAAAAAATTACCACACGTTTTTACTTAAATGTTACTAAAATCTGAAGGCTGTATTGCAAGCATGTCAAGTCCAGCTAGTTCTAGTCAATCAGAACGTACCATTACACTAACCAAGTTTTCATAATAGTTGAGCACCTTTTCCTTCTCTCAGAGCACTCAGAGTGTATACAACGAAAACACCCCGTATTTCCCATCAATTCCAAATTTGAAAGTCCATCTGTCTGAAGCTGATTTTCCTTTCCTTTATCAAAAATCGAAAAAACCTGAAGTTGCAAAGTACTGGTACTTTGTCTGAACTCTTTAAACAATTTGCAAGTTCATCGATCACAGAAATATCATCTGGGGAAGCGGCTGGTGGTCTCCTAGAAAATAACAAATTCTTTGAAACCGACTATTTTTTAACCAATGAACCACTTAACTGCAGTAAACGATATACGGGTGATTCTACAAACGAAGGACGAAAATGAAGAAAATATGGATACAACATTTTTTTCTCATTTAAGGTCTGAAAAGTACTTTAACTTCAAGTTAATGACACTAAAAAAGATATCTGAAAGTAGCCAGACAAAATATTAAAAATTACTAAAGTTATGGTTGTTTATAAACAATTTATCCAGGAAATTAAGATCGTGTATAGAAAATTCACATTAACACAAAAAATAATATATAGATTCATACAAAATTTATTACTCGGGGGTTTTCGAGGTCGCTGATTACGAATCCGAGGTCAGTTTTTAAAATTAAAAATGGCGGATCCAATATGGCGGACTTTTTTTTTAAAAAATCGTTGGGATTTGCTTGAAACTCTCTACTCGGGGGTTTTCGAGGTCGCTGATTACGAATCCGAGGTCAGTTTTTCAAAATTCGAAATGGTGAATCCAATATGGCGGACAAATATTTAAAATCACTGGAAATGAGAAAAATGAAAAAACAGGTATAAATTTCAGAAGAAATTTTTTTTTCAGGCTTTCATAGTAACATATGTTTAAAAATATTGCAACCTTTGTAAAAAAAAATTAATATTAAAAATTCAACCCGAGGGTGCAGAAAAATAACTAAAACTACCCCTAAAAACCAAAACCTTTAAAAATTAATAAATTCGCTTGAAAATTGTTACTTGGGGGTTTTCGGGGTCGCTGATTTCGAATCCGATGTCCGTTTTCAAAAATTAAAAATGGCGGATCCAAAATGGCGACCGATAATTATAAAAATTTACTAGATTCGCGTGAAACTTATCACTCGGGGGTTTTCGGGGTCGCTGATTACGAATCCGATGTCCGTTTTCAAAAATTCAAAATGGCGGAACCAAAATGGCGACCGATAATTATAAAAGTTTACTATATTCGCGTGAAACTTATCACTCGGGGGTTTTCGGGGTCGCTGATTACGAATCCGATGTCCGTCTTTAAGAATTCAAAATGGCGGATCCAATATGGCGACCGATAAATATAAAAATTCACTAGATTCATGTGAAACTTGTCACTTGGGGGGTTTTCGGGGTCGCTGATTACGAATCCGCTATCAGATTTAGAAAATTGAAAATGGCGGATCCAATATGGCGGAAGAAATGATTAACTTTCATTAGATTCATCTGAAACTTATTACTGAGGGGTTTTCGGGGTCGATAATTACGAATATGATGTCAGTTTTTAAAATTGCAAAATAATGCTGGTGTCATTATTGCCTATTAATTTTGTAGCTTTTAGTGCCTGTTGTTAGGAGTTTAGTATGAAAATGAAAATTACAGACCCAGGCTCAATCGGTGAGGTAGTGGGAGAACGCTACACAGAGAAAACGAAACGACGCGCTGATTGCCTTATAACAGCAGTTCCACATGGGAGCTTCTTTGCTACTGTCGTACCCCCCCTTTCATTTACCCAATGCACTCCCCTCTACGCCATCGTGGAGGGGATTGCATTGAGTATGTACTCAATGCATTACTCAATATGATAATAATCAGTGAAAATAAATATTTTTTTGATTGTTGAAAACTGAATTCAGTATCTTATAACTTATGAATTAGGGGTGGATTTCAAGGGTAGGGGGTGAGTTTATTATTATTATCCATATCTGTGAAACATTGAAATACTTTTTTACAATTCAGAAGCACTTAGAATCCATATAATTTTTTTCATTTATTCACAAAAACATTTATCATTAAGGGGTAGTTATTTAACTTAAGGGTTGTTTTTCAGGGGTTGTTTATATTCAGTATTAATACTTAGTTATCATAGAAAATTTTTTTTTTCATATTTTCGAAAATCAGTGAAAATAATTTTTTTTATTGTTCCAAACTGAGAATAGTTATGAATTAGGGGTGGGCTTCAAGGGTAGGGGGTGAGTTTATTATTATTATTATCTATGTCTGTGTAACTTTCAAATAATTATTTATAATTTAGAAGCAATTAGAATCTATAGATTTTTTTTAATCATTTACAAAAACTTTCACCGTCAAGGGATGATTATTTGACTTTAAGGGTGTTTTCAAGGGGTTATTGATCCTTTTCAATTTTTAAGCAACCAGGCAATGTTTATAAATAAATAAAAAGTAGATAAGAGCTGAAAAATATTTAATTCATCAATTTGGTTAAATATCAGTTTTTTGGGGTAGTAATGTACCGTGGGGGTGGTTTTAAGGGGTGAGACATGTTAAAAAAAAATTTTTTCTCATACTGAATACTTTAGTAATTAAATCTAATACACATTATAAGTCTAAAGTAACGACAAAAAACTCGGCCATTAAAGGGTTAAAATAGTCAAATTCTGAAAATCTGGCTTGAAACTCGAAATCTGGTAATTCTAAAAAGAAAAAGTATAGAATGAAACATTTTTTGCACGTATAATTTTGATAAACAGGTTAATTTAAATTAATAAGTTTTTTCAAAATTTGTTCGCCATATTGGATCTGCTATTTTGAATTTTAAAAAACTGACGTCGGATTCGTAATTAGCGACCCCAAAAACCCCTGAGTAATTATTTTCAGACAAATATATTAAGTTTTTTCAAAAGTCGTCCGCCATATTGGATCCGCCATATTAAATTTTGAAAAACTGACGTCGGATTCGTAATCAGCGACCCCAAAAACCCCCGCCTAATTATTTTCAGACAAATATATGAAGTTTTTTCAAAAGTCGTCCGCCATATTGGATCCGCCATTTTGAATTTTGAAAAACTGACGTCGGATTCGTAATCAGCGACCCCGAAAACCTCCGAGTGACGAATTTTAAAAGGATCAATGAAAGGTATCGCTTTAAATAGTAATTTGTTTATATAATTTCTTTATAATAGTTACGTGTGTTCTACTAGAACATAATTTTACAAATTACAAAACTGTAGGAGTACTTTAAGTGTCTAATAATAAAAAATATTTCGATTTTATTGTGATATTCATACGATTCACAGGAAAAAAGTACTTTTTATTTGTTTATTTATATTAATATAATTATATATGCAAAATGAAAATTGAAGATTGGGGTTTAGCAATATCTTAAAGTGAGGATTATTTTAAGTCAAGAAAATCGAAAAATGTTAAAAAATTATTAGTTTTACGCTGTTTTTAGTGCTTAATGTATATCCTGTCTCAAAAGTGCCAGACGAATGAGAACCAGACGAATGAGAATTTGGCAGTTTTTTTAAAAAAATGATAGAAACAACAATAAATAAAAAAATAAGCAATTCTATCCGACAAAGAATTCAAAGTTGCAATACATAAGCCTATAAAAGGACCTAAAAATAATATTTTTTTCAAAAAAATAGATGCCAGACGAATGAGAATTTGTCTGGTCACAACGCAATCTTGGTCACAAATTGAGAAATCTTGGTTAATAGAATAACAGATTAAATAAAACGCGCGTGGTATCACATTTAGTTTAGTTTAATTAACAACAATAACGAACTGTAACTTCATTAGAATGTTGATTTTTAATAATTTTAACGTGTTTTCAACTGCCAGACGAATGATAACAAAATCCAGCGACAAAATTCAAGAAGATATTTTATAAATAAGGTATAGAGTAATGTCATAATTATTTCCATATTAAAAATCTACAACTATTCAAAATTACTAATCCAGTATGAATTTTCCGCCAAACACTTGAAAAATAATATTTTTTCACAATATGAACTGTCAATTACACTGCGGGACATGCCAGACGAATGAGAATTTAGCACTTTGATGTGTATTTTTTGCAAGAAATATTTTTTTTCATCGGCTGCTTTTTAGTGCCGCAATAAAAACCATTTAGATTTACAATTTTCATAAAAAAAATTTTTTTTTTTTAAATTAATATACAAAATAAGCTTGACCGCTCATAATTCCCTCGTTTGTAGAATCACCCATATATATTTTTTTCTTTAATCAATCAGAGATTATTCACAAATAATGTAACGTTGTCAGCCATTTTCTGAACATAACCCATATGTAAAATACCATGGAAAAGAGAGAGGAGCACGTTTAAATTTCTTAAAAAAGTGCGTAATATTATTTGCAAATACTCTTTAATATACATATACATACCATGATTTATTTTCTAAAAGATTAATGTAAAAACATGATATTAAGAAATGTCGCAATATCCTTTCCACTTACTTGTTACATGGAACAGATTGCGGAGAACCGCAACCAAGAACGGTTTTTGTTGGTTGAGTATCACCCTTTTTGGATTTAACAGTTTTCAATGTAGATGGTGGGAATAAGTAACGATCCTTGTTTGCTTTTGATGTAGAACTTTCTGATTTTCCAGGTTTAACTTGTGTATTTAATGGTTCTGCTGGTTTTTTTAAATCCTTGATTGATGTTGATTTGTGACTCTGCGAATCATTAAGTTTAATTTTTTTCGCTAATGCTTTTAATTGATCCAGCTGTTGTTTTACACTTGCGCTCTGCTTAGATATTTTTTTAGGAGGATCATCGTCATCATCTGTTGTCAATAGATTTGCAGGAGTTTTTATACATCTGCCACTACTGGTGGCAGGTTCTTCTAGGTGCTCTTTTGGCATCGCTTCTTTCTGTTCCTTTTAGATATGTCTTGACAATAAGGTAGATTTCTATGCAAGAAAAGTTTGGAACATGTACTATATTTGCTTCAAGTCCATGTCGTAAATACTCTCCTCCACTCAATGCGAAATTTGCTTGAAATCCATGCGATTTTCGGATGGATTTCTTGCAACGGAGATAGAAATGATAGTGCGCTTGCGTGACTTCCGTTCACGTGTCGGTCGAAGGGTCCAGTCCCATTTGCAAGAAATCCATCCGAAAAGCGCATAGATTTCAAGCAAATTTTATATAGAGAGAAGGAAGGCAATTTTATCATGTTCTTAAGCGTTTATAGTTTACAGATCAATCAGAATTAGTATTCTATTTTGATTTTTCTCTCCGTGTAGAAATGGTGAAAACAAATTTTCCTCTATATAGAAACATGCTATATGAGATCCTGATCAATTGTCCGGATGTATGTGTGTGTGTGTGTGTCATTTTTGTGAACACGATATCTTTAACTGGTTTTAATTTGGGTAAAATTTAGTTGGCTTATTTATCACATTTATCTCTCAAATATGACAAGAGAAATTTTAAAAATACCCCCAAAAAAAAATTTATCGTCTTTTTCCAAAATTTTTTTTTAATTTAAAAAAAATTTTATATAAATTATAGATTTGATTGAAATTAATAGCATTAATGTAAGTTAAAAAATCAAAAATTCACATTTTAGCTATAAATGTTGTTTTCATCAATTCATGTTTATATGTATATAAAATAATTTTATTCTCTGCATCGAAACGAATTGGTTGATATGAGGCAAAATTCCTGAAATGTCCGAACAAAAAATTAAAAGTTCTCGAATTGTTCTGCAATTGTTTATTAACAATCTACTTATCCAAAATACTTCATATAGGGCTCGTTGGATGCGGAATTACCTTAACTTTCAATTGGTAAGTTGAGAATTACCATAACTTTATTTGTTTGTAAAATATTTTATTTTTTACTAACAACAAGCATACAAAAGCCCTATATGAATTATTTTTGTTCAATTTTAGTTAAATAACAATAAAAAATGAAATATCTTACAAACAAATAAAGTTATGGTAATTCTGAACTTACCAATTGAAAGTTAAGGTAATTCCGCATCCAACGAGCCCTATATGAAGTATTTTGGATAAGTAGATTGTTAATAAACAATTGCAATGTTAACTAATTGTTTATTAACAATCTACTTATCCAAAATACTTCATACAGGGCTCGTTGGATGCGGAATTACGTTAAGTTTTAATTGCTAACTTCAGAATTACGGTAACTTTATTCGTTTGTAAAATATTTGACTTGTTATAAACATTAATTAATTAATTAATTAATTAATTAATATCTCAAAAACTTTAAAACTTAAAATTACATGTTTTGTAGGAAATTAGTCAAGCTTTGCATTGAGATAGTTAAAAATAATTTTAAAAAATCCGATATTGAGATAAACGTAAATTAACACTTTGACCTTGAATTTCAAGGTCAAATGTTATTTAAAAAGAAAAAATTTTATTAACAGCGTGTAGCCCGTCAAAAAAGCTTTAAAAATCATTATATATATGTTAACTTTTATGCATTCTACTTATAAATATTGTACATTGAAAAAAATTTTTTTTTTCAAAAGTCAAAAATTAAAAACGTTGTAATTCAAAAACTATTTTATTAAATTCAATAATAATTGATTTTTAGACTTTCACCAACAATAACAACATTTTAGAAAAGTATGGATTAAATTCGAGAACTTTTAATTTTTTGTTCGGACATTTCAGGAATTTTGCCTCATATGTAAAGTATAGATTTGATTTAAATTTTAAGAATTAATAAAAATCGAAAATTTATATTTTAACTAAAAAATTTTGTGTTTTTTTAATTTCAAGTTAATACATAAAATAATTGTATTCCTTGCATTGAAACGAATCGATTCGTATATATAAAGTATATGTTACACCCAAAATGAATTAAAATTTTCTTAATTTTTCAAAAAATTTAATTATTTTGAAAAAGTTTTCAACTCGAAATTTTTTAAATCAATCAATTGGATCGGAGAAATTTATATAGCTTCCTCCACGAGGAAGCAAATTTTTTGCTTCACACAATGAGGAAGCAAAATGTTTATAAAATAAATATAAAGGACCCCCTCCTTATTTAATGTTTCCATTGGCTCTAATTTCGGCGAATAAAGTATTTTCAAAATACACGTAATTTTGGTCTCCGAAATTGATATACAAACGCGCCGCAATAGAAAATTACGGTATTAGTTTTAATTTCTCATATTTGTTTAAATAATCGATTTTTATAAAGTTAAACATTTTTTTAACATTTAAATAACATAACCTTTGAGTTTAATAAGTCTTAAATTGAGTTTATACAATAGAAATGTCGAATTTTCTATTTCAAAGGTGTTTTGACTCGAATCGCGCCGCAATTAGTGCATTTACCCTACTTATAAAAGAAAATAATAAATTTCTCTTTTAAAACGTAAATAACTATTATTTCAAATGTTTTGAAATTTCTTTTAAAGAACACGATAAATATAACTTACTTGTTTTTATTTTTAGACGAGGAACTGAAAAAATATAATTTTCTATATTATATTATCCGTGAGCATCCATGTTTATAACGTTTAATATTTGGTTTTTTGCTATCTTAAACCACGAACACAAACTACCTAAGCCTCGTGCATTTTGTTTCGGTATAATTACAGAAGCAGATATCTTACTGTACTCGATTTTTTCTACTTATTCCAGTAAGGTAGCTAAAAGCCACGGAGGAATAGTAAGGAGACCGATCTTGCTATAGTAGCGCTTCTGAAAATGGCAGAAAAACATGCACGATAAGTGCCAGTTTCACTGCATTCTACTCAACCACCAAAGTAGTTGAGCATGCGCATTAGCCATGTGCTGTCTCTTTCTCTCGCAAAAAGTGTGCGAGTGAGATCTGTCCGGCTGAAAAAACTTGTACAAGAAAATGTACAAGTTCTTGTACATGTTCATTAATGAACTTGTACATTTTCTTGTACATGTTCAAGTAATGTTCTTAAATAAGTTCAGCATCCGGAATTCAGACATGTTCTTGTACCAGAACTTGTACAAGATCCTGGATACGAAAATATACTTGTACAAGAAAATGTACATGTTCTTGTACATATTTTTTGTGCAGGTTTCATGTACAAGTACTTTTAGATGAACACGTTTATGTTCTTGTACAAGAACATTTGTTTAAAAATGTTTTTGAAAAAAATTTGACATTTTAATAAGTTATAATTAATAAGACTCTTCACTTATGCATGCTAAAAATTATTGCGCAGCTGTAAAGGCTTAAGAAAACTACTGCGCAGCCTTTAAAGTTTTTAATTTTTAATTTAAAAGACATAAATAAACATGTACAAGAACATGTTCCACATCTGGTACAAGAAAATTTACATGAAACCTGCACAAAAAAAGTATGTACAAGAACATGTACATTTTCTTGTACAAGTATATTTTCTTGTTCAGGATCTTGTACAAGTTCTGGTACAAGAACATGTCTCAATTCCGGATGCTGAACTTGTTCAAGAACATTACTTGAACATGTACAAGAAAAGGTACAAGTTCATTAATGAACATGTACAAGAACTTGTACATTTTCTTGTACAAGTTTTTTCAGCCGGGTGGCTGACGTATATTTCTCAAGTCTTCCATGCGTGTTGTGATAAAACACTGAACACTAAGATTTTTTTGTGACATATATGTATATCGCATAACCACACTTTTCATCTGTCAAAATTGAGGTCCAATGCGCATGCTCAACTACTTTGGCCAGTTGAGTACAATGCACTGAACCTGGCACTTATCGTACATTTTTTTCTGACATTTTCAAACGCAGAGATCGGTCTCCTTACTACTCCTCCATGCTAAAAGCTAAAATTCGGCCAATTACTAAAGAACCATCTTGTGATTTGATTCTGTAAACATTCGATACCGCCATCTATGGCAAAGTTGTTATACTTCAGCATCAACTCCCGCGCTACATTTGAATTAGTGTTTAAAATTTTTACTTCTATTAACATTTTTTGTTTTGATTTTCTTTTAATTTTTTAAGGTATTACACCATAATACCACAATATTACAAGTATTACATAGTATTACATGATATTACACAATAATACTTATTATTACAAGACATTACAAAATATTACAGGTGTTACCAAGCATTACCAGGCAAGTGTACACTTGACTACCAGAGTAAATTCCCCCTCGATGATGCCTATGAGGAAGCTGATGGCTTATTATATGGAACAGACATGGTCAATACATGTAAGTAAATTTTTTTACTAAAAAAACTGTCACTAAAACTTTAAACGAGTTTTTTTCAAAACCACTATTTTTTAACTGGTGCCTACGTTTACTTAAAATCTATTAAACCGATCGGGCTGCAATTGGATGTTATTATTCTACACATGAGTGGCTATCGTTCGAACTACGATCATGATTTTACCTAAATAATTTCCTTTTTTTAAAAAAATTATTAACGAAAAAAAGGCGATTTTTGAAACTTTTTTTAACAGGCAGCCATTTTGTTATTTATTAAGATAAATTGTTTATTAACGTTCAGATGATAGCGACAAGCTTACTGAGTAAAACTACGTTTGATTTTTTTGTTTTAGGCAATATTGAAGGAAGCTATCATGGGAACCGTCCAGCCACGCATTTTTCAAAGAGTCATCTTTGACCCAGATAAAAAATTATTTTATTACTTTAAAATTCATCAAAAAAAAATTTGTGTATACTTGATGATACCAATTATAATTATGTAAAAAGAGCGATAGAGTTGTATTTTATTTTCTTTGAAAAAAAATTCCTGAAAAAAGCCTAAAATTTCTGCCGTCACATAGGAATAGTGCCTTAATTTAAAGTAAAAGAATTGTAACGATGTTATCTTCTATTATATTAAGTTAACAAATTTCGAAAAACGACACCGACCCCGTGACCTCGACACCGTCCTTGAAAAATCTATTTTCAATTATTTTCAAATAAATCAAAATACTTTGCATATATGCTGTTAGAAAATCTTACAAACTATTTTTATGTAACATTTTTTTCAATTTTAACCCAAAAAAGGGTCATTTTGCTATTTTTTAAGAATTTTTTGATTTTTTCAATTTTTTATTATTATTTTTTATTATTTATTGTTGTTTTTTCAATTTTTAGTTAGTAACCTATAATATTGTGTCTAATTTTAAGTGTCATTAAAATCAAATGTTTTTAACTTAATAATTTTAACATTTCTTAATTTAAAACGAAACATCTTCTATTATATTAAGTTAACAAATTTCGAAAAACGACACCGACCCCGTGACCTCGACACCGTCCTTGAAAAATCTATTTTCAATTATTTTCAAATAAATCAAAATACTTTGCATATATGCTGTTCGAAAATCTTACAAACTATTTTTATGTAACATTTTTTTCAATTTTAACCCAAAAAAGGGTCATTTTGCAATTTTTTAAGAATTTTTTGATTTTTTCAATTTTTTATTATTATTTTTTATTATTTATTGTTGTTTTTTCAATTTTTAGTTAGTAACCTATAATATTGTGTCTAATTTTAAGTGTCATTAAAATCAAATGTTTTTAATTTAATAATTTTAACATTTCTTAATTTAATACGAAACATCTTCTATTATATTAAGTTAACAAATTTCGAAAAACGACACCGACCCCGTGACCTCGACCCCGTCCTTGAAAAATCTATTTTCAATTATTTTCAAATAAATCAAAATACTTTGCATATATGCTGTTAGAAAATCATACAAACTATTTTTATGCAACATCTTTTTTCAATTTTAACCCGAAAAAGGGTTATTTTTCGATTTTAACCCGAAAAAGGGTTATTTTGCAATTTTTTAAGAATTTTTTGATTTTTTCAATTTTTTATTATTTTTTTTTATTATTTATTGTTGTTTTTTCAATTTTTAGTTAGTAA